TTCTGCCTCCAGGAAGCTCTTGCTGCCTGTCCTGCTCATGGTTCACGAGGGTGGACCCTGGTATTTCTGGTGGGAGCGTTTCAGTCCCTCCCCTGGAGAGTGATGCCCACATGGAGGCTTTTGGTGAACACCTGAACACCTTCATAGGCTGCAAACTCCATAAGGGCAGGACACTGCTTGTCTTGTTTAGTGGTACCCTCAGCACCAGCTGTGATGCCTGGCCCAGAAAGGTGGCTGGTTGATGTGCAGTGAATGCAGAATTAATCTACTTCCCCCTGCCCTCAAACACAGAGGGCATGGTGGCAACAAAAGTTATAATGACAAAGGTCGCAAATCTTCCACGGGAAAAATTATGACTTATTACAAAGTCACAGGAAATCTTTGTGAGATTATCTGCACCAGGCGAGAGGACTGGCGTGCCTAACTGTGGACAGGGGTTCTAGCTCATTAGGCTTCCGGTCCATTGGGGTGTGGCCTGTGACTTGTCTCAGGCCCCCTAGGGAGGACTCTTGGTTTTTTTTCACCCTATATTTTGCCTCCCCAATCTTCTTATCCATATAGACATTAACGCCACGCACAATTGGTCTTGTACCACATAGTCAGTCTGTTTGTAGTTTTAATTAATAGTATTATATTATAAACCTTGGCCTCAACATAGTTTTTAAAGGTCTGTCCATATTGCTATAGTACATCTAGTTTGCGGTTCTAACTACTGCAGAGTTACCTCGCCAGCAGTGTATATCTACGTATTTATTAAGATTGTTGGCATGTTATGAAATAGTAGTAATTTTCTTTCTCATAAAAGTTTCATGCATTCCTTGTTAGGTTAATTCCTAGACAGTTTAGTTTGTTGCTAATGTGAATGGTATTTTATTTTCTATCATATTTTCTAGCTGATTTCCCTGGTATCTGGGTCTCTGCATCTGATCTTAATTGAGAGGTAACCTAGAAATTTCAAGAAAAATCTGCAGCCTCAGGCACTGGATGAGAAACTAGAGGGCCTGGACTATTATGTTTTTCAGCTCTTTGGTATTGCTCAATACATAGTCTCAGAGTTTAGAAGCACTCTGATGGCCTTGAATGACCCAAGGTAAACAGAGGCAGCCCTAGAGAATCACTGGGCTGGCCTGTGCTGGGATGGGCTATGATATGTTTAGAGTTCATATCAGGGCCCCTGGGAAACATAAGAACGTGGAGAGAAGATGAAGCCACAGCGATTCCAACCCCTCTTCCTTCTTAGACTTGGCCTAACCGTAGCCAGTCCTATGTGGAAGGAGGGCTGCTGGACCACTGAGCCCAGGCTAAAAAAATGTCAGTTTGGCTGGGACAAATAGTCTTGCTAGTTGTCCCAAAGCTAATAGTGTGGCTCCTTAGCAGATGATGGCTTTCTTAGTCTTAGAAAGGCAGTGAGCACTTCAGGATACTATTTGAACCTTGCTAGGAAAAGGGACCCGTGGTTCACAACAACAAGCAACAAAGGCGTTTCCCCAGCTCAGTCAGCATGTGATAAAATCTGTTGGTGTTTCTGAATGATGTAAGGTTTATGTAATGATGTAAGCAGAAGGAACTCACAGTGCCGGCAAACATTTACCAAACACCTACGTCTGTCCATATTGTGCCAGGTACTAGTAATACAGAGATGGACCAGATATATTTCTTATACTCAAGTAAATTAGATTTAAATAAATTCATTTAGTAAACTATTCTAGTAACTATAGGTTGGGGGTAGAGCATGGCACAAAGAAAAACTAGACTAGGGGCTATAGAGTTCAGAAAGGTTTTTGAAAGGTTACACATGAACGCATTATAAACACTGGGTATATGTTCCCCAGACAGACGATGTGGAAAAAGCCTTCCAGGCCAAGGAGCAGAAGCTACAGCAAGGAGTCATGAAGTCACTTGCTGGGCTCAGGAAACGGCAGACATGTTCATACAACTGGTATGTTCAACACCGTGTCCCCCCAGACCTAAAAACATCCTGGAAACACTGAGTCATGATGAGTGTGTGAACGAATGAAGGAAGGAAGGACAATACCGAGGAAGAGCACAGGCCTTGGAGTCAGTGTTTAGATGCTTACTAGAACCAGGACGGCTCCTTTCTTTATGTCAGGACTACTTTGGGTTCTTTTAAAGTAAACTAGATTATATAAGGTACCTAGAGTAGTTGGAGTCATAGAAGGAAAAGTAAAATGGTTGCCAGGAGCTGGGCATAGGGGGAAATGGAGAATTGTTGTTTAATGGGTATGAGAAAGCTCTGTAGATTGGTCTCATAAAAAGTGAACACACTAACACTACTGAACTGTGTACTCAAGGCTGGTTCAGATGGTAAATTTTTTTATGAGTATTTTACCACAATTAAAAATTTTTTAAATAAACTATAAAGCCCCCCAGTTACTTAGATTAGGAAAGCGTTATTCTGTCTATATTATCACATGGGTAATATGGACCAGAATGTCATGTTAGATGTGAAACCTCTGCTGTTTTGTGAGATAGACATAGAGGGTTTTGATCCTGGGTGTCCACTTTAAAGTGGGAAAGGTTTCTTTCATTTTTTTTTCTCCATTGTAATTTTAATCAAAACATTGCTGATTAATTCTTTTTTTTTTAAGATTTTATTGGGGGAATTGGGGGAGAGAACAGCATTGGGGAATTGGGGAAGGGGAACAGACAAGTTGCTGTCCTTTTGTTCTTCAGTCTAGTTGTGGAGGACGTCGCTTCACTGGCCCATGTTGGTATTGTGATCATTGTGCTCTTCCCGGCTGAGGCAGATCGGTCGCCGGTCATTGGATGGCCGCTCACGGCAGCTCACGGGAGCCCACTGCAGCCCCACGGCAGCCTACACCGTCGTGGGCAATTCACGACGGCAGCCCAGCTCCAGGTAGACCTGTTGTTCACCATCTTAGCTGTAGAGGGCACAGCGTCACTGGCCCATGTGGGATCCGAACCAGCGGCCCTGCTGCTCAGAGCTCGCACTCCCAAGCCAACTCTTAGCCAACAAGCCACTTGGCTGGCCCCAACTGATTCATTCTTTTTTAACTCTTTCTTATAAGCACCAAATTTTAATATCTAAGTCAATTTTGGGGAAAAGAAACACCATCAAGAACTTCCCTCCAGAACAAAGCAATGATGTTCATTCCTCTACAATCAAAACAAAAACAAGAAAAGCCCACAGAAAGAAAGCCCACACATTCTCAGGGTTCAGTGCATTTAGCAGCCTTCTCTGTGCTGTCTCATTATCCTTCAGCTGACTTTTAAAAAAAAATAGCACCCTACCTCATCAAAATAAATATTTTCCGTATGTTATTTAAAATTAACAGTAATTTTAAAAAGAAAACTTGAAGGAATTCATCAATTGTCTGACTCATTTCAATGTCACATGAAGGTCAGGAAAGCTATCTGCAGCACACAGGATGAGGACATGAACTTCAAGGCTGAGCTTTCTTCCAGTGTAAAATACCTACAACTGCAAATATGGACAGACACTGACCACCTCCTTGCAGAATTCCACAGGACAATATAGGCACCCAAGCTGTTCTTCATAGAGTGAAAGGGCTTCTGTCAAACTGACACAGTTCCCCTGTGTAAAATATTTCCCATCCTGCTTCAGTACTCTCATTGAGAGGTCAAGATTCAGTCTGGGAAGCTCACATGTGAAATCTTCTTCCAGAGATGTGGAGATTGGAACAGCTGTCAAATCATTAATCACATAATCAAGCTCTCTGCCTTCTTTGACGGACCTCTTCAGTACTGGAACACAGTCTTCTATGAGAACCTGATAGCAGCCTCCTATAAGATTGTCCGAGACGTTGTCCAAGAACATGTGTTCTGCTTTCTTAAAACTCTCAATATCTTCCAAACATAATTCAAAGTTTCTAACTGATCCTGAGGCTCCTTATTTGGATTCCTATACTTTGTCCCATTCACTAGTATTGTACAGATTGTAAAAAATAGGTCATCACAAGTTTTTCACATGTATTTCTTACATCCATCACCATTTGGTCAATCTCTAGCACAGTGGCCATCTTTGGTTTCAGTTTAACTATTGCACATAATGTGCCCCCTATCTCTGCCTCCCAGAAACAGTACATCTTTGCCAGTGTAATTTTTTTTGCCACTGCCCATGGTGGCCTGGGTATAGGCCCAATCACTCTCCGCGAGGTTAACATCCCCACGCAAGATGAGAATATTTCCAAACTGCTTCAAGCGTAGAATTTTAATGTTCTGATAAGGTGAATCTTCATCATGTACCACTGAGCTGTCGTACTCAACCAGGGGGCCATCAGCAGCGGGCCAGTATCAGTCCATGGCCTCTCCTCAAACTATGGGTGGTAACCACCAGACCAGGGCTGTCCTGACTCGATTCTTTCATTCTTTCTTCTACTTTGTTCAAAAGCCTGTCAACTTTGGTTTGCGCGTCACCACTGTCACTAACTGTGAAGGTCCAGCAACACCAATCCATGTGGGTAAATCCTCAAGTCGGCAAGATGCCATTTTGTTGATGTAGGTTGCTAAATAGCCATTGTCCGTCATCCCCTGCTCCTGGAGAATGGATCGCAGGCCTTTGAGAATGGTCTCGCCATCAGAGTGGGAACCTCGCGTGAAGTCTAGCGTTCTGTGCTGCTGCGCTGCAGCCATAGCGAAGCCAGGCCTGAGCCAGGCCTGAGGGAAGCAGCCGCTAGAGACCAAGGGGCCGCCGGGCAGGGCAGGCTGCTGGGGGCAGCGAATGCCTAAAGCGCAAGAGGTTTCTTTCCAAAATCTTTTTTAGGAAATGACTGGCCAAGGTGAGGTTCAATCATAAGTCCATTACCGCCGGGGTTGGCCACTGGGCTGCTAGTGCTTTTCTGGCCGTATCCAGGGCGGTCCTAGTAACCACGCTGTCCTGAGAAGCTGCGGAAGGTGAGTCCAGCACCCCAAGGGGGCGGGGCGTGGAATACGATTCTGGGAGTGGGGTATGGGCGGGCCGCAGTGAGGTCAGAGGGAAGAGGGTAATGTAGGACGCTGTTGCCTGGAGACCGCCAGGACTCTGTAGCCTGGAGACGGCCCTTGGCCCCCAACCCCGCAAGCGAGCGTCAAGAGGACTGTGAGAGAAAGCCCGACCAGACACAACAGGGCCAACGCCATGGCCAGACGCCAAAAGGAGGTGATGCGAGATGAGGTCCATCAGAACCAGATCTTGCAGGAATTGTACCTCAAAGAGCTACGAACCCAGAAACTCTACACGCAGTATCACGTGAATCCCCTGCGCAAGGGTGAGGGGCACTCCGGGATGGAGGAAGGGGAGAGGGGAGCGCCTGGAAAAGGAGGAGCCGTCCAGGGGGCTGGACAGGGGGAGGCGGGGTTGGGGCAGAGCACCGGAGATGCCTTCTCTGACCTAGCCCTGCTCCCTGGACTTCAGGAACTCTGACTTTGAGTGGGTGGGGATAGGAGGGAGGGAGGGGTGTTCTCGCTGCACATCACATCAAATATATTAAATATATTAAAATGCACCCAGGTCGTAATTAAAATATTTTTGTTATAAAAAAGTTGAAAGGCTTTTTATGATTTTGCTTTTGAAATAATTATATTTAGCAGGGTTTTATGTTTTGTTCATGTTTTGCTTTGTTTTTAATAAAAGCTTAGGGTTTTTTCAGGCTTCTAATATTGTCTTAGACCTTTGGAATTTTCAGTGGTGGTAGACTCAGGGCCCATGGTGTCCCCCTGATAAAATGGCCCTACCTCACTGCACGTTCCTCACTGCACATTCCTTTGGCAATTTCATCTGGTCCTGTAACAGCAGCTCCCGCTGAATGCCATTGGGGCTCAAATGGAGCTATCTGTCTAACATTCTTTGGCTCCCTTGTATATTCCAGTAGGCCAACAGGGTCCAAGAGAACATTCTGCAATGATGAAAATGTACTATATCTGTGTTGCCCAAAATGGCTACATGTGGCTATAGAGCATTTAAAATGTGGCTAGTGTGACTGAGGAATTAATTTTTAATTGTATTTAACTTTATTCAAATTCAAGTAGCCTCATGTGGCTGATGGCCAATGAGCTGGACGGTGCCACTCTAGACTGTGAGGTCCTTGAGGGCCTTATTCCCTAGTGCCCAGCACAATACCTGACCTGTGACAGACACTGACAAAATACTACATGACTGTCTGGCCTAAGGTGAGTCTTAGAGAGGGCAGGGAGACAGTGTTTTAATGTCAACCTGTGATGCTGTTTTTCTCTAGTTCACACAATCACCAGAAAGCCCATGTCTTGGCATGATAACCTGGAGGAACCTGCAGATGGTAAGTCCCAGGGTTTGAGAATACCACTGAGATAGAGCACACAGAGGCAGCTGGCTGGAGAGACCTGGCAGGGTAGTTACCTTGGGGCAAACATCAGTCCTCTGCTCTGATCATCTGAAAACTGGACTCATACTAAGCAAGCTCACAAGAGACTGACATATTCCAACATACTGCCAGTTTATTAACTTTCAAGGCAACAAACGTGTTCCAAATGGCCTCAACATTGCATTCATTTATCCATCAAACATTTAGCTGTTACGAGCACATGTTCTGGACACATCCTGAGTTCAAATCCTGGTTCTGCCACTCGTAACTGTGTCTTTGGGCAAGTATTTTAGACCTCTCTGAGCTTATCACTTAGGGTTGTTGTGAGGATTGAACAAAATAATGCAAGTGCTTAGAACAGTATATGGTACACGGTCATCAGGAAATGTTATTAATATCATTTTCATTATTACTATGTGATAGTCACTATGTGGGGTGGGGAATCTCACACCTTAGTGAAGAAGCCTAGGATTGGGATGGCAACGGCATAGAAAACAGGTGCCTAAATCAGGTAGTTGCATTCTGGGAGGTCTTAAAGGAGTTGGTAACGGAGTGAGGAGGCAGATGTCAGGTATAGAGCTGTGGAAAGAAATTCCAAGGTAAATGGAAAGGCTCAGGAATGAGAGAGAGCACCATGGCCCTAGAACTGTGAGTAGTTTGGCTTGTCTGAAATATACAGGTGGGTGGGGACCACGTGCAGGAATGAGAAAAGAGAGAGATCTGATGGAAAGCGTAATCTTTCCTAGCAAGCTTCTCTCCATCCCCTCAACATTCTTAGAGTAGAATATGATGGAGGAAGGATGTGGGACATATCAGAGGATGGGGAAGGACGTGTGGCGTGGGGAGAGCACAGAGGATCATACAGCACAGTGCAGACAGACACATGAATAGACTCATCGAGAGAGCATAACCAAAGAAAGCAAGGTTCTTATCTGTAGTGAAGACACCAGCCTCGCTAACGGGATAACTGTTGGGGACTTGTAGAAATAAGGAAAATGGGAGCCGGCCGAGTGGCGCGATGGTTAAGAACTCGCTTGGGATGCCAGAGGACCCTGGTTCGGATCCCACATATGAGGGCCAGTGACACTGCCCTCTACAGCTAAGATGCTGAACAACAGCTCAACCTGGAGCTGGGCTGCCGTGGGTTGCCGGCGACGGCGTGGGCTGCAGCCCCTGTGGCAGTGGGTTGCCATGGGCTACCGTGTGTAGCCAGCAGCCAGCGTGAGCGGCCAGCAGCCGCAGTGAGCAGCCATCCAGAAGCCGGTGACTGATCTGCCTCACCCGGGAAGAGCGCAATGATGGTGCCAACTTGGGCCAGTGAAGCAACATCCTCCACAACTAGACTGAAGAACAAAAATGACAGCAACTTGTCTGTTCCCCTTCCCCCAATTCCCCAGCACTGTTCCCATCCCCCCAATTCCCCAATAAAAATCTTTAAAAAAAAAAAAAGAAATAAGGAAAATGACAGGTGAGGAGGACTTGAAAGTGAGGCAGGAGTTTATTACTACCTCCCTGTGGTTAAGGATGAGCTCAGCTGGATGTCAGGCCCTTTTACACTCGTTCATTCCATTCTCAGTTATCTTCCTGAGGTGGATATTTTCCTCCCATTTTACAGATGAGCAAAGTGAGGCCCAGAAAAGTTAAGGCACCTGACAAGCTGGTAGTGGAAGGTCCAGGAATATCCAATTACAAAGCCCAGGTTTTTCCCATTGTCAAACTGCCTCTCTCAAATTGAGAATTGATAGTGTAGAAACTGGAAATGTTTTCAGTCCTTAAGCTGTGGAGTTACAAATACCTAGTGTTGGCAGCCGGACTTATTTCAGTACAGAAGGATTTGCCCTCACTTGCTACAGCCCGCCTCCTCACGCTGGGCCACAGCTACATTGGCCAAACTCGCTCAGGCCTCAGGGCCTTTGTTCCCGTGGCCTGGGGTGTGCTCTCCTCTGCCTCTTTCTCAGGACTGGCTCCTGCTTGGCATCCAGAGAGGCGGCCTCTCACCATCTTGTCTGAAGCAGCCCGCTGGGCCTCTGAACGCCCCTTTGCCTACTCCCCTCTTCACAGCTCCATCACAGTCTCCACCATCGGGTTTGCTTGTGTAACTGTATACTGTGGCCCCTCTCCCCACACCTAGACCGGGAGCACCAGAACAGGGACCATGTCTGTCTTACTCTGCTCTCCCTCCCTCCAGGGTACAGAACAGTGCCTGGCACAGAGTTTGGCTCAACACATATTTGTTGAAAGATGAGAGGAGGAAGCAGACACCCATGTTGCGAGGCCTAAGTAAGCCTCTGAGGCCGGGTGCTCTGCCTCTAAGAAAAGATGTGTCCAGAGTGAGAAGCACAGAACCACTCAGGGTGCCCAAAGCCGGACTCCATAACGCATGCCTGGTCTTCCAGACAGGTTTCTGAATCTCATTCACCATGCTGCCCAGCAACCAAGGAAGAAATACCCGGAGACACAGACTGAAAGCCAAGAAATCGGATGGGACGCAGACCCCTTGGTAAGTAGAGCTCCTTCACTTAGGAAGCACAGAGGCAACAGAGGTGGGGGCTGGGGGAGAGGGTATGGACCAGACTGCCTGGGTCTGAACTCTGCAGGCCACTTACTCGCTGTGTGACGTTGGGTAAGTGACTCGGCTCTTTTATGACTCAGTCTTCTTGGTGTAAAATGGGGATCTTACAGTGCTTATTTCATGAGGATGTTATGAGGAATAAATGAGACAGGATTTAAAAGGTGCTTAGAACAGTGCATGGCACATAGCAAGCACCATGGGTTGATTAACAAAGGTTACTGATGCTGATGACAGACTGCCTTGTTTGCTCTACCAGTGATCAGTCGAGTGGTCTTGAGCAAGTCACTTAACATCTCTGAGTTCTGTCCCCTAACCTGGAAACTGGGAATGGTAGTAACGATACTCACCTCATTTGATTGGAAGACCACCAGGAGCTGCAAGGAGCCTGGGAAGTGTAACCTTTGGCACATCATCACCCTAGATGATATAGGGCTCTGTTACTAAGGAAGAAATGCAGACTTTTGAGTAGACAACTTGAAGAACTTCCTGCCACTCTTGTCTTTTAATTCTTGTTTATGTCTTTCATCACATAGGTTTAAATTTTAAGTAGTCATTGTGCCAACCTTTTCCATTAGTTTCTGGGTTTTGTGCCTTGTTTAGGAAAGCCTTCAACATCAAGAGTTATAAAACAACTAACTTTTCCTATTTCCCCTAAATTGTTGTGTTTTTTAATGCTTGGGCTTTTAGTCCATCTGCATATTCTGTGGGTGTTGTGAATTTGGAGGCACTGTTCCTCAGCTGTTTGAGAACTTCCATCATTGCTTCGAAGGCACCAGGATCTTGCATCCCCTGTATCTACCTCCTGACCTCCAGACCATATGCCTTGGGGGCTCCTACTCATCCTTCAAGACAACTCAGGAGTCACCTCTTCCAGAAAGTCCCATTAAGGGACTTCTGCCCTCCGCCAGGCAGAATAGGGCACTGCCCCTCCCCACCCCCCCTTGCTTCTCTAGCACCGTGTGCCTTAGTGTTTGTAGGTAACAGGGTTTGTAGGTAACAGTGTCTAGCTGTGTGACCTAAACCTCTCAACCTCCATTTACTTACCTTAAAACGGGGATAATATTGACACCTGAAGGTTTGTGGTGAGGATTAACTGAGACAATGTATATGACCTGCTAGGATAGTACCTAGCACATAGTAAGTGCTCAATAAATGTGGACTACTATGATGTCATGAGAAAGAATAGAAAGGAGGGCACATGGCCCACCGAGGACCATCAGGTGCTGCTCTGGGCCCCTTGGCTTGATCCCAGTTGTCTTTGTCCACTATGGAATTATGTAAAGTGCTCCCTTTCCCACAAACTCCCAATACCCTGGTCCTGTTCTTATTTCTACTATGGAGACCTGACCTTCTCACCCATTTACAACACTCTAGTCTCAGGCATGTGGCTCTGACATGGGTACTGCATGTTGATGAGAATAAGCAGTTCAGTAAGTCAGGTTTCACCAGTGAGGAGGAGAGCTAACGGCTGCTCATTTGCAACAGCTCCTCTTCATGTATGGGCATTGCCACGGAGAGAGACGGCAGGAGACAGGGCGAGGGTTCCAGTGGGAGCTCTGACACTTACACAAGGATAATCTCGTCCACGAGAGAGAGGTTGGATTAGACAGCTGGGAAGAGAGAAATGCTCAAAAGGAAATATGTGTGCATGTAGCAAGGGGGGAGGGAGTTGTGAAGGAAGGTAGGTGAAGGTGAAGATAAAAATCATCCAAGTTAGCGATTTAGCAACTCAGAAAAGTATTACAATGCACAAACAAATTTACTCACTAGTCTTCATTTTTTAAAAAAGCAAAGGCCTGATTTCCATGAGTACAGGTGGAAATGTTGCATCTTTGACCAGCACAATTCATGGCAGGCTTACCACGCGGTGACAGGAAGGACAAGTGTGGCTGCTATGGCCAGCCCTGCCCTGCTCGGACCCTCCTAGGCCTGGCAGATAACTGAGTGGGTGGCTCCCAGATCAGTCATCACTATGGAGTTATAAAGGGTCTGCAAATACACCAAGCCTGTTCATCTAGAAACTGGGCACCATGCCATCAGATGGCGCTGGTGGCAGAGTAAGAAGGCATAAGCAAAAAAACGTTCTATCCAGGTGTTATGCAACCCTAAAGGGTAACTACACTGGAGTTTCAGAGGGATGTGGTTGGGGCTGAAGAGGCTTCATCAGCCCCAACTTAACTTAGAATCCCTGCCCCTGGCGGTACCTCACCCTGAACAAGCGGAGAGCCCCCAACCCCAATACCGAGACACTGGGGAATCCACACACTATGAATACGGCTCAGCCTCTGGTCTAGTAAAATGCACTGAACGTGTGTCCTTTATTATAATTGCACAGTGGAGCTTCTATAAGATTTATGTGTCGGAGTGCTCACTCTTACTCAGTTCTCCATGTAGCTACTTCAACACATTCATTCACACATTCCTCCCACCCTCCCTTCAACTAATATGTACTGGAGTCCCTGCTGTATGCAGGACACTGCTCTAGGTGCTGGGGCTAAGCAATGACTACAACACACACAGCACCTGCCCTCCTGGACCTTATAGTCCAGTGGGGAAAGAGTCCATAGGCCTCCAATTTAGGCAGAGGAAAGGGATGGGCAGCACCTTTGCATAGGTGTCACTCAGTCCTACAACTCTTTTGATGTTAATGTTGTCATCTTCATTTCACAAACAGGGTTAACAAGGAGAAGCACCAGGGCCATCCATCAGCAGAGTGGGGCCTGATTCAAGCCCAGGTCCATCTGACTTCAACCCAGGGCCTCCCTCTTCCCGACAGGCTTCTTTCTGACACTCACACTCTCCTCTCTAGGTCAACCCAGAACGTGATGACCACAGGCTGAACCACTTCAGGGTCCACAAAGACATCACTCTGTACAAGGCTAAAATGTGGAGCTTGGGAGAAGATGATCGCCACAGGTAGTTTTCCAGCAGTGATGCCAACCTGCCTGGAACGCCCAAAGCGTGTGCTGCTCAGTAAAGATACATTAAATTCTAAACTTCTATCCTGAGTCTCACATTTCTCCGTCCTGTCCAATTCCACTGGTTCAACATCTCAATCATATAAAGTAGTGGGAGAATTCCAATTAAAGAGGGCAAACTGTGAACAATCTCTCCTTTGCCTTCCCAGTCCTCCCTAGTAAGGGATAATAAGGGTATACAAAGGTATGAACCCACAACAGGGAGAATGGGAGAGAACCATTAGCAACCAAGGAAACTGAAGACATACTTAGAAGTGGAGAGCTGATGGAAGAGGGTGGAGGAAGCCACAAAATGCAAATCGAATGGGATACCTCTGAGCATGGAGCCCATGCCCCAGTCCTCCCAGGACTCCGAGACAGGGTGGGGCGGGAAGCAGGGAACTGAAATGGACATTGGCAGAGAGTCTCCAGGAAGTCATAGCATGGCATCATGGAATTTCAGATCACAGGGAGAAGAAAAGCTTCCAGAGAGAAGTGTCTCCCTGGCAACACAGGAGGCTGTGTAAGGACAAAGAAGCATGCCTACAATGTTCTCAGGGAAAGTTCCTACCAGCCAGATTAAAGGCAATTGCAGAAATGCAAAGAGACAAAAATTCACCTCTCACGTTCCCATTCTTAGGGAGATACTAAAAACGGTGTAGAGCAAAGGTTGGCATAAGCTAAGACAGAAAAATATGGGATCTAGGATAGTGAAGCCAACCTAGAAGGTATAGAAAAGAGACAGGGTGACAGTTGTATGACAGACCTTGATTACAGCAGAAAAATTTTAAGATGGATAAAATGATGAAACATCTAACGATCTAGAAGGAAATTTTTATACAGAAAAACATAAGGTGATAATTAACTCAAAGAAAAACCAAGAACTGTATTAAACAGGAAGTATTATCATAGTTCATGTAGCTCTCCAGTGATTGGTATTTAAACAATCATAATGATATAAACACTGGTTATTGATTTATCTAAAGTCGTGATATTAACTGGGAGGATGGGGAAGAGGAATGGACGAGGGTGTTACATCTTCATCTACCATAAAAGGAAAGGAATTTGGACTCAATGTCTAAATTATTATCAATAAATAGAAGTATTATTTAATATGTAAAAGTAGCTTCTAGATCTGTCTTAACTGAATTTTCACCCAAGGATATATGTTTCTTTGATAATTTAGTTTATTGAATGATTTTTTTGTTTTGTTTTTTTTTTACAAAAAGAAACCAACTTAAGGGATCCAATTATATTGTGAAATCCCAATTCTTCATTCCTTTTTCTTGGTTCTGTGTATACAAAGATGCTGCTTAGCGTGATCTACTCTTCATTTTCTGTCTTGTCCGTTTTCCAGGTCTCTTCTGCAGAAAAAGAAATACCACATGTGGTCACATAGCAGCTTAGCCTTCTGCCCTGGGTCAGGATACAAAGGGGAAGAAAGGAAGTGGGCAGGTGTAGGGTGGGAGAGGGGGCTGATCGGCCCGTCACCTGGCCCCGGGGCTCACTTACATTTGCTCCTTTCTTGCCAGGCCTCTTGAGGCCCTTGCCATGAGCTGTCTTGGCCCGGAAGCTGGATACATCATCATAGCTCTCACGAGTGTTCCACTTGGAGCCTTTCTTCTTTCCACCAAAACCAAACTTCTGGTTTTTATAGCGTCGTTTGGCATTGGGACTGGAAAAAAAGCAGTCTTACAGGTTACCCACGGCACTACAAATTCTGATGAATCTTATGGCCTGTCAATACCCTACAGTATTCTGTCTGTAAGTAGATACAACTGTTACCCAAAAGCTCATCCTTGGCCCTACAGTCCTACTTAACAAATTCCCCAGGCGAGCTCATCTATTTATAGTTTTAAACACCAGAGCAGGAAAACAAGGCAAGAACTTGAAAGGATCCACAGACATCTTGTGGCTCACCAGTTATCTTTGGAAAGCTTTCTATTTTAACTAAATCTTGCTAAATCACCCTAAGTTGTTTCTATACATGCAATTAATATTCAAATGTCATAAATCTTAAAACTGGTCATCCCACAGGAATCTCAAATTCAGCATTCCAAAATCACATGTCATCTCCCGTCCTAGTCTGGTTTCTTCCTAGATATGCCCTAGCCACCAGACTAGAAACCTGGGAGTCGGCCTTGATCCTTATTTCTTTCCCTCTCTATACCCAATTCGATTACCAAGTCCTGCTTATTTAGCCTCTTGAATATTCCTTCAATCCATTTTCTCTTCTCTACCCAAATGACAACTTTCAGGTCATTATCATTGCTCATGTGGACTTTTCTAATAGTCCCCTAATCAATTTCTCTGCCTCCCTCAAGTCTATCATTTACATGAGAACCACTGTAATTCTTTTTAAACATGAATATGCCCTGCTCATCATTTTGAGTAAAGCCCATCAGTGTCTTCCCACTGCCTACTGGATAAAACCCAAGCTCTCAACGAGACAAAAGCACGTTGCTTCTGTGGCTCGGCCCAGGTTTCGCTCCAGCTATATGTTACCACTCCTTGCCGCACACTGTATTCCCAGTGATACCAAATGCTGTTCCTCACACACAAACCTGCTGTTCTCATCTCTAAGCTTTTGCTCATTCATGTTCTTCCTTCTTCCCAAAACCGTCGTCTCTCCTATTCTCCTAGTTAATTCTTACTCATCCTTCAGACTAAGCTCAGGTGGGTCCCTCCTCCAGGAAGTCATCCCCAGACCCTGATCCCCAGATCATGATGGATGTTTCTACAGTGTGTCTCCCTCCTACTCCCTGATTGCCTCATCATAGCCTTTACTACATTACACAGAAATGATCATTACAGACCTGGTGTCCAGGAATGCATAAAGGTGAACTAAAAAGGACAATTATAATGGTCAACATTATCTCTTTGAATCTTCATGATACTATAAGGCACAAGCTATTTTCTTATTTTCATAAATGAGGAAATTAACACTGAGAAAGGTAAAGTAACTTGCTCAAAGCTACCCTCTCAGTGACTGGCAGAGTCCAGATCTGAACCTGAGGTCTATAATCTTAAACATCACACTGTGAGGTAAGGAATCAACTTTTACTAAGCACTCACTTAAAATGTGCCAAATCCTTAAATCACCTTCCTTTAACCTTCAAAGACTGGTATGGCTAAGGATACCCATCACACAGCCCTGTAAGTCTCGGCCACAGGCAGCAGCCACACTCTTCCAATTCTGAGGCCACTCCTTGTGGCAGTCCCTGTCATACTTGTGAACTGCAGGCCCCGTACACACCACAAAACAAAATAAAACAAAACAATACCCCTTCTTCGTCTGCTGGCTTTTCTGGCCTTTCGCTCCTTCCTTTGAGCCTCGTGCAGCAGGTTTCTGATCTCCATCAAGGAAATCCAGTTTATCAGAGAAGCCTGGGAGTGAAGAAGTACTTTGATCAGCACCATCACATCTTACAAAAAGCTGAAACATCCAAAGAAGGTTGTTGCTGCTTACTGAGTTGATTGTAAGAGGCACATCTTGCTCCCCACACCATCCCCAAACCTTAGGCCCAATAGTTCCACATCAATCAAGGCTCCAGAGCACAAGGTATTAGAATTAGCAGGCAACCTGCTCCCCTACATCTTTAGGAGACAGACATACTGACCTTTCTGATATTTCTTAATGGCATTCATCATGTGTGTTTTCTCCCGCTGCCTCTTCTGAAGAACCTCTGTTTGCACCTGGGACAGGGACACAGGACTGTCACACCCATTCCAAGCCATCGTTGCAATGCTGTCATAATACCACCACCACTGAACGTTTACTGTGTGCTGAAACTATGCCAAGGCTCTAAGTACATTCTCAGTTTTAGCTTCTGAACAACCCAGTGAAGTAGAAAGTCTTATCACCAACCCCCGCAAACTGAAACACAGAGAGGTTGAGTAACTTGTCCGAGTCACACAGCAGGAAAGTGCAGAGCTGGGATTCACACTCAGGCAGTCTGCACTCTTCCTCCATTATACAATCCTACAAAACTGTAAAATATCAAGTTTAAGTCCACATCCAATTCTCCCCATTAATTTTATTTGGGCAGATAAAATCAGATTAAATATCTCACCTACGGTTACTAGGCATGAAAGTACCAACAAAAAAACCAATCTCCCTAAAAAACAAAAAAGCTTTAAGGACAAAAGGAGATGCTTCTACTCTAGGTCAGTGTTTCTCAGTCTCAACACTACTGACAGTTTGAACAGGATAACTCTCTGTTGAGGGGTGGATGGCCTGTCCTGTGCATTGTAGGATATTTAGCAGCCTCTCTGCCCCCTGCCCGCTAGATGCCAGTGGCACACTCCCCACCAAGATGTGGCAACCAAAAATGTTTCCAGACATTGCCAAATGTTCCCTGGGAAGCAAAATCACCTCTAGTTGAGAACCACTGCCCTGAGGTTTCCTCAAACTGGAAACAGTGAGCTAATATACCTGACGGAATTTGTCTTTGCTTTATATAAATTGTTAACCCAATTGCCTATGTCTTTGAGTTGATCTCAGTCACCAACAGCCAGATCAATCCAATAAATCCACAGCTGCCCATATGCAGAGGAGAGGATGCTATCTACTCATACTCCGCTGACTCTATCAGTGAAATGACTCCAAATGAGGACAGCAGCTCAGCACGCAGGAGCACAATGTTTATGTCCAAAATGTTGACAAAGTCTCAACACCCACGCTGATCCTCCTCATGCACATTTCTTCCCACAACCCTAACTTTAATTCCGGTCATCTTCCTCCTTAGGTGACCATGAAATAAAGAAGTAAAACCAAGAAAAGTTTCATGGTATGCTGCTCTAGTTTTACATTAAAACTGTCATGGTTCTAAGATACAGGTGCCATTTTTTCTCTCATGGTTTGGATGACCATCAATAATATGATTCCTTTAAGGCAGCGGTTCTCAACCTGTGGGTCGTGACCCCTTTGGGGGTCGAACGACCCTTTCACAGGGGTCACCTAAGACCATCGGAAAACAAAAAGATATTTACATTAGGATTCATAACAGTAGCAAAATTACAGTTATAGAGTAGCAACGAAAATAATTTTGTGGTTGGGGTTCACCACAACATGAGGAACTGTATTAAGGGGTCGCGGCATTGGGAAGGTTGAGAACCGCTGCTTAAGGACTTTACAATCATCTAAGCCAGTGATTCTCAACCAGGATGCATAATGGAATCATCTGAGAAGCTTTTGGAGGAAGGGAAGAAAACATACATGGATTCCCAGAGATTCTGAAGCCTAGAAATCTGTTTGGAAAAATTTCCCCAGGTGATTCTGCTGTGAGATTAGGTTTAGAAATCTCCAGTCTGGACCCAACTCTTCAATGAGTAGATGTGCAAACTGTGTGCAAACTGAAGCCCAGAGAGGTGAATGGCTCTCCTGCAGTTACTACTACTGGTGACACACTGGCGTCAAGGAAAGATTGTGTTCATGAATACTGGCACACACACCCTACTGTGAGATAATAAGCACATGACTGAACACATACGGGGCATGAAACAGGCATGGAACAAACGCAGACCATGCAATCTGGCCTGACAAACACACTCGGCCCCATCCTATCCCTCGCACACTTTCCTTCTCACCTTCTTTCCGTACTTCCTAAGTGCTCGCAGTTGCTTAGCCTTTTCAGACTTCTCCATGGCGGCTTGTTTAACCTGTAGTTTCTGTCGAATCTAAAACACAAAATGTTGTCAGCTTGTTATTTGAATCTGGGATGACTACTAGGTAGGATACACTGGAGCGAAAAACAGATATTCCCAGTTCTGCAAACTGCGGAGCTCAAAGGAACCTTGAAAATCATCTGTTCCAAGTCCTGTGTTTTACACCTGAGGACAAAGAGGTCCAAAGGCTGAGCACTTTGTCCAAGATACCAAACACATCAGCCATGGAGCTAGAATTTGCAAGCAAGCTTCCCACTTCCGCTGTGCTATTTGTTTCATTATACAAAGCTTGCGATTTTGCCAGGAGAAATTAACTTCTCTCCATCCCTACTGTCTGCAGACTGAGGTTAAACCAGCATGTAGCCCCAGTCCCCTTCTCCAATATGCCACATACACATTAAAAACGCCAACAGATATCAGGTACCTGGCCTTTTCCATCAAACAGTTAAAGGATGAACAGTTGTCAGTGTGAATGTACAGAGATGTGTCTGGGCTCATTTCTAGATTAGCTTCCCTGAGTACTGCCAAGATAAGAGCTCCCTAAAATCCAGCTTATGACCCAAGGGAACTATTTCAATACATCTTGGGTTAGATTTTGGCAATTCTCTTCCTCCCAAAGTTAAACGAGGACCAAGTTCGACCTAACTCTAAATTAAACAACATCTGAGCCACACATTATTCCCTCATTTTACCGTAAAGAAAACTGAAGCCCAAGGAAAATGAATGGTCTACAAGTTGTAGTACTGCCCGCTGGCAATGGCAAGACAAGAAATGTGTTTTTTTCTACACACCATGCCATGATCATGCCAGCTAGGAAATGCAAAAGGCTCTCTTTACCTCAGGGACCACACTTCTTCCAGTAAGTTTTCTCCCCTTAATTATTTAAACTAGGAAAAAGTCATCCTTACATTTATCTAATTGGTGGTGATTGGCATGAGTGTGAAGTAGACAACACAGAGATAATAACTGTCCTCTGACAATTGGTTCCCTACTATTAGGCTGTTTTTTCAACATTATAGGAGGTAAGACTGCTGAATATATTTAAGCACAACGCCTCGGCTTTCCAGAAAAAAATCTTCCCTGTTTCTTACCTTCTGCATCTGCTGATCAGACTTGGCCATCTCTGCAAAATAATCAGTGGGCCGCTTGGTAGGGACTTTGAGCTGATGGAGGCGGGGCAATACCGCAAGCACTGCGGCCTGGGCCTGACGGTAGCTGAGGATGTAGAACAAAGTGTGAAGTAAGCTAAGGGGGAGAGGCCTTACATTCCTTCTCACTGCTACTCATGAGTTATCCAAGGTCAGAAGGACTCTCAACATCTGACCTCCACCAGCAAGAACAAACACACAAAGACACACAAATAAAAACCTCATTAACTTGATATCTAGGAAAAATTTAACTGTACACTCTTTTAAAAAGGGGGGAGCAGGGAGTACTGATGAAAATAAATTAATAGTTTAAGAAAATGACCACTCTAAAAATACCCACTAACTTACAAAACTAACGCCAATTATGAATTCTTATGCAGTCGCTAAAAAAGTCTATATAAGAAATTTCCAGGGATGGCCAGTTAGCTCAGGTAGTTAAGAGCATAGGCTCCTAACACCAAGGTTGCCGGTTTGATTCCCACATGGGCCAGTGAGCTGCGCTCTCCACTAGATTGAAGACAACTACTTGACTTGGAGCTGATGGGTCCTGGAAAAACACACTGTTCCCAATAAAATTTCTTAAAAAGAAAGAAAAGAAAAGTCCACAAGCAAATTTTTGTTCTAATAATTGAATGTACAAAAAACTTTAGCTCTTTATAGTCCAAAGAGGCCTCCCAGGACTGGCTATAGCTCAGCAGTTCCTTCGTACCAAAGAGGCCTCCCGCCCTGATCCCAGGCTTTCGATAACTTCTGAGGAGTCTGGGATCCCCACTTTCCCTCTCGCCTCCCTCTCTAGCACAGGGACCCACAACTTCCCCCACATTTGAAAACAAACATACAAGCTCATCTCCCGCTGGAAGTCGTCTTCTGGATCAACAGCTTTCTTCTGATCCTTGTCCTGAGGTGGTGACTGCGGTTCACGGATTTCTGGCACCGGACTGAGGGTGACATCAAGCCTTTCAACCCATTCCAGATCCCGTTTGAATTCAGCCAAACACTGCTTCAGGCCATTCTAAGAAATGCAGACACTGAGCTCCTAAGAAGGGAACCGTGAATATGTCTCTCCCAAGCCCAGGGAGCTAGGCCAACCGACAAAGTGCTAACCCCCAATACACCGACAAATAATTGACCCTCTTGACAATACACAAGTGGTGTCCCTTCTGGAACAAGAGCTCTTTCACCCAAGCACATTTCGCTGTGTTCATCTCACGTACGAGTACCCCCCAAACAGGCGCCCGAGCTCACCACGTTGTTCACTGCCTTCTTCGGCCCCTCTAGCACGACATTGAGGCCTGGCTTCAGGAGACCTCGGGTAAACGCATCCTGCAACTGCAGGACACAATCGGCGGTAGGTACCAGGGGAGTAAGAACCTCACCCCGCGCCCAGCCCCGCGAGCTCGGCTGACACCTACCTCTCTATCTGTGACAAGAGAGTCATCAGAATCTGAGTCTGAACCTGAGAGCGGGGGAGTGTCCATCTGGCAGCGCGCACGTCCAACACGTATCAGAGGAAGCGGACTAGGCCGAGGCCCGCGCGGCTGGTAAAGGGCACCTCTCACCGCAACCTCCGGCCTTCAGTCCTCTACCTTGACGCCGCGGCTCCACGTGCAGCTGGAGCACTCCACAGCCAACAACTCACTGCTGCTGAGGGACTTCTTGATCTGGACTTCCGCTTCCGGCCCCAGACGCACTTCCGGTTTGCTGTTGCTATAGGAACTGCTCCGGCGTCTGATAGTGCCCAGGTTGCTTGGGATCCGCAGGAGTGCTACCCCGGGATACACGAGTGGCCTGGTAACTCGGGGAGAAAAAGCGAAAACTGAGAGGGGGTATCTGTGGGGGTGTCTGGCGGAGCAGGAAGCCGCGAGGGTGCAAAGGAAAGGGAAGAAGCAGGAGCCTCTGCGCTGCAATGGGCCGTA